GCCAGCCAACCCCTTCGTGGAGTTCTGGGAGGCTGTTTATCAGGTGTGGGAGACACGAAAACATCCTCCAGGCAGACTTCCTCCAACTCAGAATCAGAACCGTCTGAGAGCCCGGATTGGGAGAAGGGCTGAAGACCGGGACTCCTGAGTACTGGGGAAGGAAGGGCTGGAGACTCAGATCCTTGGGTGCTGGAGAAGGAGGCGGCTCAGGACCTGAACTCCTTGCTGTGAGGAAGGAGGGGCTGGGGTCCTGGACTCCTGAGTCCTTTGGAGAGCAAAAATTACGGTCCCAGACTCCTGGGTTCTGGTGGGAGCGGTTCTGGGATATAGGCAGTCCAAGGACTCCAGTTTACCTGCTTCTGTCGGCGATGCCAGGGGACCGCGCTCGCCACTGCCATCTCCACCACAGGTCACCGTGTGCGGGACCCTGCAGGCACCACAGCTCAGATGTGCCTCTGTCACTCTCTCCTGGAAGAAAGGGTTCTCAAGGCCTGGAAGAAGGTGCGGGGAGGTGCATTAAAAACAATCCAGACATTCTGGTCCTAAGCAAAGGAAAGGAGATCTGCCCCTTCATTCACTGGGCTCCCCAATTCGCTGACCACCCAAATCTCCAATACTCACCCAGAGCCCAAACTCCATCCTAAGGCTCAAACAAGCACAGCTGCTATTTTTGCTTTTTTCCCCTATTTTTCCCAGGCTGGTCTCGAACTATTGGGCTCAAACGATCCTCCTGCCTCAGCCTCCCAAGTAGCTAGGATTACAGGCGTGTCCCCCGTCGCCTGGCCCCTCTCTCATTAAATTGTTGTGGGATTAAACAGTCCCATGCCAGACACGTCTCTAAATCACTTTAGCCCCACCCGCCCGGCGCTACCTGGCCCCACCCAGGACTCCCTGGACCCCGCCTCCGCAATCTCTGGGCGGTCCCCAGCTCCCCTGTGCTCCACCTCCAAGCTCTGCCAAGTCTGAACAAAGATTCTCTCGGGCCCCGCACCCATTGTACCGTGTCCAAACCCCGCGCTCTCTCTAGCCCCGCCCCCGAACCGCACAAGCGCCGCCCTCGGACCCCACAGCCCCGGCTCTCAAACTCTCCAGGGGTTCGGCCAGGGCCCCCCCCCATCCACTACCAAGTCCCCGCCCTAGGGCTTCACTAGGCTCCACCCCTCTGACTCTAGTAGGCCCCGCCCACCAGCTCCCACAGACCCCTCTCCAGACTAACGAGGAGCCCTGGGAGCCTTTGCTGAGCGCTATCACTCCGGAGGTGCTTCTCCAGCCGCCACAGTCGCCGGAGCCGCAGGGAAGCATCAGGATTGGCCTGAACCATGAGGGGTTCTTGGCGCTTCCGTCGTTGCTTCTTCTCAAACAGCCGCCACTGTGGGAGCAGGAGAAGGGGGGCGTGGGGGCCAGGAGCAAGAGCCTGCATCGGTGGGAGAGTTCGTGAACCCCTTCCTCCACTGTGTCCCAGGTGTCTAGGCCCGCGGTCTGTCAGCTCCTCCTCCCTCAGATCCAAGAGTCCTGGCACCCAACCCCCTCCTTCCCTGGATCTGGGAGTCCTGCCCTCTGGAACTCTTGTTCCTTAGAAATTCTGGAGTCTCATCACCAGGGTTTATTTGCTCCTTTAGGATCCTGATGTCTTATTTTCTCATTTCCTAACTTGAAGTCCAGAGACAGCCAATATGGGCTGGGAGTCCTAGAGCAAGTCCTGGGGATGGGGCTCCTAGGAGGCCCAGAAGACGGAAGAGTGGGGGTGGCAAGATTCCTGGGCATAGTACCTGCTGTTCCAGCTTCTGCAGCCTCAAGGCGGCAAGCTCTTCCACCAGGATGCTGAGAGAGATGCGGGCTCATGGTAACAGCAAGCAGGGCACCTAGGTTGCTCAAGAACCTCTCCCTCCGTCCTCCTTCCCCTGCCCAGCTTGAGTTCTGAGCACATGTGAGGTCATAGAAGGTGCAGAGCTGGAGACTGCTCCACCAGTTCTGAAGCTCTTTCAGCACTGGCCCGTCCAGAAGCCACGAGTCAGAGATCTCAGGCCCCTCCTGTCTCAGGACTCAGGAGTTGGGAGCCCCCAGGCCCTCTTCTTTCAAACCCAGACATCTTCACCCTAGCCCCCTCTCTTTAGGACACAGGAGTCCAGGTCCCCTATCCTTTCCTGCAAGGCTAATGATGCTGAACCAGCAAACATGGTTATGAGGCCAGAGCTGAGTGCCTGGGGGCATAATTAAGCTTTAAGCACCCCCTTCCACCTCCACTCCCCACCCCTGCCCATCTGTTTGCCCACTCACTCTTTCTTCCATGTCTCATTCTCCTCAGACATTCTGTAGAAGCAAAAATAAGGAGTCAGGATCCAGAACCAACATCCCAATGGACCCTGCCCGCCAACATCTGACCCTAAGCTTTAAATGTTCTCCTGGACCCAGGTAGCCCAAATCCCAGCACCACTCCTGTTGGGACCCAGTACGCTGTTTCCAGCTTTCCTCACTATCGGGACCAGAAATCCAGTTCTCTTTCCCCCAAATACCTAACTCCGGCACCCAGGCATCAGAACTCAGGACTGTGGCCCCACACACCCAATCCCTAGTGGCCCAGACCCCCAGCACCCACCTGCCTGGGATCCTGGAGACTCCTCTTTCCCTCGTGCCTGGTGCCCGGAGAGACTGCTCCCTTGCTCACATTGAAGCCTCGGTGCCTTGCCTCTCTGGCCAATCTCTAAACATACCTGACCCTCTCTTTGGAAGCTGGGGACCTAATCTCTGAGTCTCTGGGAAGTAGATAGGAGAGAAAAAAAAAAGGGCTCGGAGGGAAGGGGGATTCCCACTGGGACCTGCCCTGGTCCCCTCCCTCCTGGCTCCCCACGCTCCACTTCCAACAAAGCAATGACTCCTAGCCCGCTGCAGCCAGGCAACCCTGCTCCAGCGGTTCTGAATTGGAATGACATGTGGGTATTCCTTAAAGGTACCCGAAAAAGGCTGCCTCGCAGTATCATTCTACACATCTTGCTTGCAAGAAACTTATGAGGTGGATTTTGCAATTGTTACTGAGCTGTAACTTGCAAACACTTCTTCAGGGGAGAGTAAATGGGAAAACCACAACTCCCATGGGACGAAGGAGCCACGGCGCCTGCGGAAGTGGACTCACGTTCCCTGGGCCTGCAGGGAATTGTAGTTCTCCTTGAAAGTCTCCGCCCACTTTTTGCCTAAAAGGCAGGAAATGCGGCGTCAAGAAGTTGGCCTTTCGAGAAAGGAGGCGAAGTTTTCGAGAAAAGACGAGCGACTTCGGCAAGGGGCGGGGCTGCCAGACGTGGACGAAGGGGCCCAGAGCCATCGTGGACCAATCAAACTTCTGGGGCGGGCCCTCTGTGGGAAAGTAGGCGTGGCCTAAGGGGGAAATCGCTGGGAACGCACCGGAGGTCCTTGCCCGGGAAAACGCCCTCTGCGGTGGAGGAGAGGTGAGGGCCCGGGGTTCCAGACTCGTGGGTCCTGGGGAGGATGGGAGCCAGAAAGCTGGAAGACTGGGTCCCCGGGGAAGATGAGCCGGGTGCCAGTACTTCTAGGTCCTGGGAAAATAAGATTCGGGGGCCTGGACTCTTGGATCTGTGGGAGGTGGGGGCCGAGCTCCTGGATTCCCGAGTCCGAGGGAGGAGGGTGTTAGAAGCCAGGACTCCTGGGTCGGAGGAAGGGAAGGCTGGAGTCCTGGAATCTTGGGTCCCGGGTAACGAAATGCTTTGTGTCTTGATTCTTGGAAGTGGGGTCGGCGCTGGGGACCCAGACTTCTGGGTCCAGGGGAGGAAGAGGCTTGGGACACAGTTAATCCGTTATTCACCTCTCCGTCCCTCACAGACGACGCGGCCATGCCTCCCTCTGGATCTCGTGGAGCCCTGCTCCTGCCACCGCTCCTGCTCCTGCTGCTGCTGCTGCTGCGCTCTGTGCTGGCCGTACCCCTGGAGCGGGGGGTGCCCAACAGGGAGGAGAGTCCTGCGACCGAGAGCCCCGTGAGTGGCCCTGCCCTGCTCTCCAGCCAGGTGTTTGCAGTGTGGTACTACAATTCCTGCGGACCCCTGTGGCCCTTGGGTGGATACTCCAGTGACTTCCTGGCCCCACGTTTATGGCTTCTCGTTTGCCTGACATTCTTTGCCAGTACCAGGGGTTTGATTTGATGAAAAACT